AGGAGACAACTAAGTTTGCATTCACAACAACTATGGAGTATACTGTTTCAGAAGCTAAGATACAAAGTATGTAGACATTTTCTCTGAAGCCACAAAGAACTATTATATTTTATTGTATGTACTCAGAGTGTGCTGAATTGGTTAATTATCTCATTTCACAGTATGCACCCCAATTGCTGCCATCTGATCCATTATGTAAGAGGAATTTTCAGCATTGATTTTATTGTCTTTATCAGTGATCTTCAGTGCTTCTTTTTTGGAAGGGATATCTTTAATAAAAATTGCAAAGGCTCAAAGATTTTCAAAGGATTCTTTCAAGATTAACAGTCACAAGAATCTCTTTGGGGTCATCAGTATGGAGAGAGGGTCCAATATTCTTGGTATTATTTATCAGAACTTCAGAAATAAAACAAAGTGACTGAAAAGGTATAAACAAATAATATATACACTACATTATTTGGACTATTGTCCTATTCTTTGTCGCCATATCTATTACATTTTGGCCATTGCATGCTCCGGCCTTCTTCAGGTGGTTGGAATGTCAAACTGAACCCTTTATTTCGCTCAATGGGGTAGACTGTTCTAGTTCCACGTGCCAGGTTTAATGGATGTCATTTATCAGTTATCTCCTGTTAATTCCCTTCTCTATGTTCTCCACTCCCTTTACCGGGTATTGAACTCACACTCTTTGGGTCCTGTCCTTTATCCACTGTACCATGTGTTCTTGAGGACATTCCAATCACCTGAAGAAGGCCGAAGTGTACAACAGCCGAAACGTTGTAAAAAATATGGCAACAAAGATGAGAACAATAGTCTGATTAATGTAAATAGTGTACATAATACCTCATCTAAGAAATATAGATAAATAATATATATTTATTTGATTTAGATTGGAGTCCTTTTATATTCAGTGTAGCAAAATGTTCATTTATGTCCTCCCTTGATAGCAGTCAAGAGAAAGTCCATTTCAGTTCGGTACCTGACAGTGTAGTAGTTGTCATCTTAGAAATAGATATAGCATCAATCAGTCATCCTTTCTTGACTCTAAGAAGAGTGTTAAAAATGTCTTAAGCTGATGACCAATTAACTTTTTCATGTGACATGCATGGCAGATTTCTCTGGTGGTATCCTCATCTGCCTCAGAGTTGTCAAGGCTCCCAGGCTACTGGGGCAAACCTTGGTTTCAGCTAATATCAAATGTGTTTGTGCTAATTTTTTTCGATTGTCCAATTTATTTTATTTTTCAGTATTCCTTTTGTTTTTCTTTTTATATATATATAGCGGAAGTTATGCATGGAAACTCTAATTTTAGTAATAAATGGCTAGACTCTGGTCCAACAAACTTCTGTAGTCCCAAATGATGCTACCAAGACTTAATTTTTGCCTCAAAATTAACCGTTCAATTCACAGAAAGTAATAACATACAGAGAGTGTCAAAAAAAAAAAAAAAAAAAATTAACTGCAAAAATTAAGTGAAAACTAAAAATACACTTTTGTTCTTTTATTTTTAAGGAATATATATATATATATATATATATATATATATATATATATATAAAATCAGTTTTCTGGGACCTTATGAGAAGCAGCAATGTGAAACCAGCTGGTGAAACAAGTTAAATTAGGTTGAACATTTAGCATGAAAATAGTAAAAGAGTAAAAAGAAGCAAGCAATATTTCATCTGTGGGGCAAAAGTTAGAAATCATTCAGCTCCAGCAAGGTCACAAACACTTTTGAACTCTATCAATGCTAGAAAGTGAAAAATGGGCAGCTCATGAGTTCCACTTGAGGTCTGGTATGAGTGTGAGTGCAATAGATGTTCCTAACAAGAAAACAAATGTTCATGACTGGAGAAAACTCAGTGTGAGCTCTGCAAAGATGAAACCTTACTAGCTTGATTTTGGAGATATTCAATATATATTGAACTTTCAATTAGGAAATGCAAGATAGCTTATACATTTTTTTAGCATTTCACCAAGAAAGGCATTAAAGCCACTAAGATGCAAGAGGTTACTGAATGTGAAAGGATATAGGGAAAAAAACATTAAGGATTGAGAACAACAAAATAAAAGGAAATAAGATAATAATTGACATTGCATTTGAAATTTTGCAGAGAGATTCAAATACCTATTGGTGTGGTACAAGGAAGCAACCATTTTCCCAGCATTTTTAGCAATAGATCAGATATAGGAGTTCCATTTGAAATCTAAAATGAGGTTGAATCTTAATAGATATTTATTTATTGAAAAAAAAAAAAAAAAAGTTTGAACAAAGTAACTATAAAAAGTTTTTTTTTCTATCCTCTGCCAGCTGCAATGATGGAGAAAGCATTACATCAAACCATCGCCAGTGAGACACGCTGCAAGAGCCACTCCATTTTATGAGGCTCGTCCCTTAATCGAGACGCAACTATACCAATCCTCTGAAGGAACACCATCGAACAAGGGCCAATAACCCCAAAAGTATCCACTGCCACAGGAGTAAAAAAAAAAAAAAAAATCTATTAGTAAGAGAAGAATATTTAACTATTATTTTTTATCTCTTTTTATCAAATTACCAGTCGAAAATGTATCCGCACAGGTCGCATCCCAAATCAACAACTTCCTCATTTTTAAAGGGAAAATGGTAATGCCATCCGGCCGGTTCGATTTGGCAAGAGAACCCAGCTGCATCCAAAACTCTTCTGATGATGATGTTTATTGCTGCATGTCTTGGAAAGTGGCCGGCACTACGATGACAGGAGAGAGGATGCAAACCAAACTCATCAATGGAAGCTCCACATCTGCATCTGTGACACTCACATAATTTGCGTCCAAGAGAGATCACAATACCAACCCGAGTGCACTCATCATCTAGAAGGTTACCGGTAGATGAAGAGGGCACTGCGTTGAGCCAGGCACCACTACTCAGTTGTGAAGCAGATAGTAGACAGGGGATATTTAAGATATTGAAGGCAAGGAGCCTACTTGAAAGAAGACCAATCCATCATGATGGGTGAAAGTTCAGAGTCTGCTTAGTGGTGGTAGAATGTTACTAGTTTGGTTTTGTATGTATTGGATTTTGAAAGCCTTGTCCTTGCTCCATTTAGTCACCAGGGCTAGGTCAGATTGGTTGCTAGGTTCTGTTCATGTTGTAACATCAAACAAACTATTTGATAAAATCCTACTATTTAACTATTTATTATTTAACCCCTGGATGTGAAGAAGAAATAGAGTGATAACTTTTCCAAGGGTATTTTGCATGTTAGCAAATGTATCAAACCTTACTGAAACTTGAACTCAGATCTCCAGTTTCTCATTCCCAGTCATTATCCATTACACTACCTAAACATCCTTACTAATGAGGAACAAAGTGGATCTATACAAAAATTCAACATTAAGTAACTTAACCTAAGTTGATATGTCTGTCTATATTTCTGAGATGAGGTATTGTAACTATTTACATTGTTCAAACTGTTGTCCCCATCTCTGTGTCCATATTCATGACATTTCAGCTGTTTTACACTCAGGCCTTCTTCAGGTGATTGAAATTTGGATGTCTCGGTATTAGTTATCTCCCTTTATAGTCAACTCTCAGTTTTTGTTCACCTCAGCTGTAACCAGGTATTGAACTCATAACTCTTTGGGTAAAGTCACTGGATTCAGCCAGTGATAAAATAAAAAGGTAACATGTAATAAAATTGACCAAGCTAACGATTACTATTGAGTAGTGGAGACAAGGTGAAGTAATGGATAGCGGCTTGGATTGAGGAATTGCAGTCAAATCCATTACATTCACTTATGTACTAATACCTTTGGGAAAGGTATGCATCCTCCTCTTCTTCCCCCAGCTAGCAAAATAACCATGTTTACACTTTAACAGCAGAAAAAAAAACTGGCAGGACCAAACTTTGATCATGTGACCACAGAAGTACCAACGATAAGCATGCTTGAGCAGAAGTCATATGACAAAAGTGCAGATAATTTTTGACTTACACTCGTATATAAAAAAGAACTGATTGTTAGTGGTGTCCCTAAGAAACATTGAGGAATCAGAGAGCAGAGTTCAAATTCCAGTCAAACCAATTACATTCACTTACATGCTAATACCCTTGGGCAAGGTATGAATCCTCTTCTTCTTTCCCCAGCTATGGGTAAATAGCAGGACAGATATGGTTCTGTAGCCTTGGATGACAACTGGTCTACCACAGAAAGAAATGGCAACCTATTTCAGGAAAAATAATCTGCCTTGTCAGTTATGTATCAAATGATACATGATCACCTAAGCATGTATCATATACAGTACATAACTTTAGTGAGCCTGACCCACACTGGGTGCTTCATATTTGTAGCTATATATCAAACTGAGCTACATTTATCAAATAACAATAAGTGGTTTAATGCTACCACAATATAAAAAATAGTAGATGTGGTTGCTGCATTATTTTCAGGTTTGTAAAATGAGAGCTCAGTTCAGATGTTGATACACCAAAGAATAAATCAGATTATTATTAGCAATAGAAAAGTAAAAAGCATCAAGCTGTGCAGCAATGTACCAATCAAGTGCAAGACATGTTGACAACAAAAGCAATCACTGCTTGTGTTAAAGAAGAAATTTTATATGTTGCATTGAGAGAACATAGAAACAAGAAAACACGAACGTCCACCAATGCCAAGTAGTCTTTAGTGAGGGATGGGTCACAGATTGAGCAGTTGGCTCAGTCCAACTGGCACTTGAGAAATTGTGAACATGAACGTAGAAGACAAATAAGATGAATGAGTAAATAAAGTGCATGTGTAGGCAGTTGATACGAGTCCAATGCACATTCATCACCAAAAGGACAATGGTGATGGGACATGTTGTGGATGAAATGGCCACAGGGTTGGACAAGACAAGACAAGAGAGAAGAAAATTTGAAGCTTTTGTGAGTTGATTCAAGAGAAATAAGAGCTGAAGAAAGTGGTGGTGGTGGTGTAACATCAGTTATGTAGAAGGAAGGAGAGAAAGAAAGCTTGAAAGTTTATGTGAAGAGGAGAAAACAAAGAAAGAAAAAACAACAAAGATAGAGAAAACAAAAACTGAGATAAGGAAATAGAAAAGAAAGGATAAAAAAAAAAAAAAAGGTGAGTGAAAAGGACAAAGAAGAAGTGACAAGGCAAGAGGAGGAGAGAAAAACAAAATTGAGACAAAAGAAATTGCAAAAGGGAACAAATATGAAATGACAAAAAAACGAAAGTGTAAAGAGGAGAGTGAGTGAGGAAGAACAAATGGAGAGAGAGAGGGAGAGAGTATGGGGGAGGAGGAGGGAAGAGTAGAGATAGAGAGGGAAACAGTAAGAGATGGGGGAAGACAGATTGGGAGGAAGACGGCAAAGAGAGACAGAAAAAAAACAGAGGAAGACCTCGGAGAGACAGACAAAAAAACAGAGGAAGACCTCGGAGAGAGAGACAGAAAAAAACAGAGGAAGACCTCGAGAGAGAGACAGGAAAAAAACAGAGGAAGACCTGGGAGAGAGAGAGACAGGAAAAACAGAGGAAGACCTCGGAGAGAGAGAGACAAAAAACAGAGGAAGACCTCGGAGAGAGAGACAGGAAAAAACAGAGGAAGAATGGAGAGAGAGAGACAGGAAAAAAACAGAGAAGACCTGGAGAGAGAGAGACAAAAAAAACAAGGAAGAAAGAGAGAGAGAGACAGGAAAAAAAAGAGGAAAACAAGGAGAGAGAGACAGGAGAGAGAGAGACAGGAAAAAAACAGAGGAAGACCTCGGAGAGAGAGACAGGAAAAAAAACAGAGGAAGACCTCGGAGAGAGAGACAGGAAAAAAAACAGAGGAAGACCTCAGAGAGAGAGACAGGAAAAAAACAGAGGAAGACCCGGAGAGAGAGAGACAGGAAAAAAACAGAGGAAGACCCCGGAGAGAGAGAGACAGGAAAAAAACAGAGGAAGACCTCGGAGAGAGAGAGAAAAAAAACAGAGGAAGACCTCGGGAGAAGACAGAAAAAAAACAGAGGAAGACCTTCGGAGAGAGAGAGACAGGAAAAACAGAGGAAGACCTCGGAGAGAGAGACAGGAAAAAAAACAGAGGAAGACCTCGGAGAGAGAGAGACAGGAAAAAAAACAGAGGAAGACCTCGGAGAGAGAGAGACAGGAAAAAAAACAGAGGAAGACCTCGGAGAGAGAGAGACAGGAAAAAAAACAGAGGAAGACCTCGGAGAGAGAGAGGAAAAAAAAGAGGAAGACCTGGAGAGAGAGAGACAGGAAAAAACAGAGGAAGACCTCAGAGAGAGACAGGAAAAAAAAACAAGGAAGATCTTCGGAGAGAGAGAGACAGGAAAAAAAAAAAACAGAGGAAGACAAATGAGAGAGAGAGACAGGAAAAAACAGAGGAAGACCTCGGAGAGAGAGAGACAAAAAAAAAAAAAAAGAGGAAGACCTGGGAGAGAGAGACAGGAAAAAAAAGTACAGAAGAGAGACAGAAAAAAAGAGGAAGAATCGGAGAGAGAGACAGGAAAAAAAACAGAGGAAGACCTCGGAGAGAGAGACAGGAAAAAAAACAGAGGGAAAGAGAGAAAAAGAAAACGGGGAATACATCAGAGAGAGAAACATGGGGAGAGAACGTCAGAGTGACAAACAGAGGGGGAAGATGAGAGAGCGAGAGAGAGAGAAAATTTGAAGTCATTATTTTCAGCAATCTGAAGCCATGTTTCTGCAGTTATATTTGATACTTTCGCTTATGGACATATTACAGAGAGATACCAGTTATTGTTCAATTACCAAAGTTAATCTATGTTGATATGGGGTGACCTCTGGGGGATATCATGTGCCATAAGCTACACAACAGACCTAGCAAGCCGGCAATGGGCACAATCTTTCTACTGACACTAACAGAAGACCTTGATATATAGATGTGCTTTTTAACCAAGTTCACAAGATGTACCTGCAGTTGAGTGAGTATCATATCTTTTTGCTTTAGTCACTTTCCCATTACCATAATGTATTTTCCCTGTGAATACTTTCATGGTATTTCTTCTGATGAGCTTTCCCCATTGGTACCTAAACTTTATGAATTTAAGTACAGTTCTAGATCAGTGGCAAGGCCTCATCCTTTTACATTCAAAATAGCTAGATATAACCTTGAAAATTAATGTTGAAAATTTCATCTCTCACACTTCTTACTTGTGGAACTCTTCCGTTTTTTTGCTTTCCAGTCAATTTTGATCTTTAAAAATTCTTCTGTCTTCTTAATTCTTGTTTTTTTATTGTTCTGTCTTAATGTTTTTCTTTTTCTCATATTCTCTGTGACATCTTAGTGACATTATTGCCTTGCTTGGGATGAAATTTTTAAAACTAAAAAATTCATACTTGTGATAAAACTTGTCACAGAACCAGAATGTGTGTGTGCTTTTTTAATGACTTGACATAAAGATATGCTCATAAACCTTATTTAATATTTGTCTACATTTCTGAGATGAGGTAATTTATTTTATTTATTCATATTTACATTGTTCAGACACATGGCACAGTGGACAAAAGCATTGGTTGATCCAGTGATTTAACCAGAAAGTTCTGAGTTCAATACCTGGTCACAGCAGAGGTAAACAAAAACTTGTAGAGTTGAGTTACTAAAGAGAAATAACTAAGATATAAAAAAAAGAAAAGGTACGGTACATTGAACAAGAAAAATTTACCCCATTGTTCAATTATAAATTTCAACATATATCAAAGCCGAAGTGCACAATGGCTGAAATGTCACAAATATAATAAGGATGAGGATGACAGTCTGAACAATTGATCCATTTAATCAACATTACCCACTAGGCCATGTGTTTTGGAGGACAATTCAGTGGTGAAATCATAAAATTAAGATATTTGAAATGGTAAATTTTAACAAAAAGCAGAAAATTAAAAACCTTTTTTTAAGTGTCTTTTTAAACCAAAAATGCAATTAACCTTAATGAAAGAATTTCATAAAATTAGAGGTTTCAGATATAGTTTATTTTGAGTAAGTAGTGATGAGCAGATCTCAAAGCAATGCAGCTTCTGATTTTCTGCCAATTCATCTGTCCAATTTTTTTTTTTTTTGGCTTTTCCTATCAATGCCATATGTTGAAAAACCATCCGAGGAGAACATAATGAGAAAGAACAGTAAGATTTATAATCCGGTGTTCTTATTAAATATTATTTTTAAAAACAGTGCTCAATACAATTCTGCAGAGCATAAATATAAATTTACTAGTTTACAAACATGGTTTTATCGTTACACAGGAATTACCATATTTCAAAAACAGAAACTAAAAACTTCAAATTTAATTAGAGAATTAGATTAAAATCCCTAGTACTGTTTCATTTTCAAGCAATTTTTTGAATAACTTATTTTGAAATTTACTGAGTTTTATACGCACCATACATTCTTAATATTAGTTGCTAAGGATACGGGGAAATTCAATCATTTTGATAAGGGATGTTGGGTATTCATTTTCACTGACAAATATTGTATCAAAATATGAGTTACTTTTGAAATGAGGTTAAGTTAAGGTAGGGTAGGGTAGGGTAGGGGTGCCTATTCAACAAACATCTATTTTTCACTTTTTTTTTTTCAATGACAAAAACTTTTTCGGCACTTTTGTCTTGCCGTTAAACTTGTTATTTATTTATATATATATATATATATATATATATATATATATATATAGTGATGATGAAAAGATGCCACTAGTTGCCGACATATGGAGGTACAGTGGAATAATTGATAATACCTCAAACTGAGTAATTGGAGAGGTGAGTTTGAATTCCAGTTTGTACATTAACTTATGTGCAAATACCCTTGGAAAAAGGGTATAAATCATCTCTTCTCCACCCCCACCCACCCATCCAGCTAAGGCTAAATAGGACAGACAGGGTCCTATAGCTTTGGGTGGCAACAGGTCCAGAAGGACAACTCTGAATTGAAAACCTCCAACACATACATACGGTAACAAGAAACAAAGTCCTTGTTGGCATAAAGATGAAATTTAAATGAAATTCATTGTATTGTCAAAATTACAAACAGTTAAGTAAAATAAAAGTGGTTTAGGAAATGCATTATGGAGCTTAATCTCTCTATTGGCAGAGTGTGTATGGGGCTAACTGATGTTTGCAGCTATGGTTAAGTCCTTTGATCTCTTAGCCAGTGTAGTATTGGAAAGAAAGATCATGACCCTCTGAACTTTGTATGAAAAAGTGTACAACTACCTGTTGATAAGAATTTGGCTGGTTTTATATCTTGTGACCCGACATTGTTTTTTTGTACCTTGATTTCAGTGACAATGATATGTTTATATGAAACAGAAATCATTTGCTATAGATTTAACAATTAAAATGTACATTAATATCCAACTTCCAAATAAATTTCAATAACCTTATATGATAATGAAAATATAACATGAAAAATCAAAGGTACTTTATCTCCTGATGAGTGGATTTCAAAAGTCCAAGTAGAGATAAGAAAAAATAAAGAATTATATATATATATAAAAAGTATATCTTCATTCAAATTTAGGCAGCATATCTTCAAACATGTTTCATTGAATAATAGATATATTGTGTCTATTTTTATAATAATCCTTTCTAGTTCTCTAATCATTTTCTTGATGTTAAGATGAAATACATCAAGGAAGGAGCCTTAGTTTTTTCCTACCTAAGTACTTTTGATCTCCTCCAAAATCATCCTCAGGGGTGAATTACAAAGACAATCTTATCATAAATGTGATCTTTGTGATGCTGATTTTTAAAAACATGTGTGAATGCACTCTTACAATTATTCTAAAATTCTAAATTAATCCATTTTAGCTATGGAATTTTTTTGCAAAACACATATCCCAGTGTTTATTACAAAAACAGACATGTCTATTTTATTCAATGAAACAGGTTTGAACATATATATATGTCCCTCATTGGTGGCATGACTGAGTTGCATTAAGCAATCTTCATGTGCTGAATATGAATTGACCATTACACAATTTAAATTATATGTTTGGTTATCACAATGTTGGTGTAGTTATATATTATGCTGGGATTACAGTTTTTTTTTTTTAAATTTAAAAAATTATATTTGGCAATTAAAATAAGTGAAATTTATATATGTATGTAAAAAAAAAAATTATATATTTGAGTGGTGAACATATATATAAAAGACTTGGACATGAACAGGATTGGAAGTCAATGTTTTGGGCCTGGTTGAAAATGAATCATTGACAATGTTTCAAATTTTCAACTATATATATATATATATATATATATATATATATATATATATATATATATGAGGCATGCAGAGAAAAAAACCAACCTTGGTAAATTAATTACTTTTGTTAACCTTACCCCCAAATTGAAAGTGATTAACAGTATGCATTTTACAGTACATTCCACAATCCTTGATAGCCAGAAGGCAAGTTATTGCCTTTTCATTAATATTGTGTGGTGGATGATAGAGCATCATAAACATAATGGAACTGAAAAAAGGCTAAGCAAAAATACTCTACCACCAGCAAAAAGTTCACCTTTTAGCTCTTAAGTTAAAAAGGAATTTTTTTTTTCAAAAGCGATAATTATTACAGTAAGTACTAAATGCCAAAGTATGAAGTAAGTAATTAGTGTTGCTGCCTTTGACTCAAGTAACTGCCTCAAACTGATGTCGTATCAAATGGAACAAGGTCCAGATTCTCATAAGCTATTCCCCACCCATTCTCTTTGACAGTAATCTTAATGTACTTGCAAATTTTTTTTTTTTTTTTTTATTGGAGCACTTGTTTTTTCAGTTCCCACCACAATGGTTCAATTATATTGAGTTCAGGTCTTTGTGCTGACCAGTTTCTCAAATTTGATTATCTTCATCCACGAGAAACCTTTTTGTTGCATGTGATTTATGGCAAGGAGAACAATCATTTTGAAAAAAATATTTGTAGTCTGGCAGAAGATTAGACCATAGTAAACTAATACAGGTTTTACTGTTTAGGATTCAATTAATTTTTACCAATTTTCTTCTATCACTTTTGATGATATGCCAAACCATTAGAAAAAGCTTAAAGATAATGTTTTTTGTATTTTTTGTTAATTACAGTATGACGTAAAACACATCAATTTATTTACTTTTAAAATAGGAACTTTTACATTTTTGTGATACCTAATGTTTAAAATTAATTTTAAAAAGTCAAAAAATCTTTCCTGAAGCTTTTATTTAATTTCAAGCAAATAGAATAAATTTAGTATTTGCAATAAGCAAAATACTTTGCTCTGTTTCAAAACTAATTTAAATTGACTGGAAGATTTTTTTGGTTAAAAAAAACTGATTTTTAACCATCATTCATCAAAATGTAAGTCTCATTAAAAATTTCCCCAAAATAATATATAATTTCTGATACTTTGAAGATTATTAGGTGGTTTAAAATTTAATTAATCCAATTTCAGTTTGAAATATTGCTGAAATGCATTTTTTTAACATGGTGGTTGCTGTTTATTTAAGACTAGCAGTAGAGCCCAGCATTGCCCGGGGATGTAACAGTAAGAAATAGATCAAGTATCGACCATCATAAAGACTGAAAAATAAAATTGACAAAGATTGTTTAAGGTTGACGGACATGAATGTCTTAATTATTTTTTTTTCTGTTTTTTGTTTGTTTTTTTTTTACAAATTGGTCAAAC